TAGGGTTCCGTATAAGCCCTATAGGGAACCCTATAGGTCCTATAGAGAATCCTATAGGTCCTATAGCGAACCCTACAGGTCCTATAGGAAACCCATCAGGACCTATACAGAACCCTTTGGGTCCTATAGGGAACCTATAGGCCTTATGGGGAACCCTATAGGTTCTATAGGGGTCTCTATAGGTTCTATAGGGAACTCTACTGGTCCCAAACTGAACACTATGGGGCCTATAGGAACCAATAGGATTTTTATAGGATTCCTATAGGATTCCTATATATTCCTAAAGGAATATATAGGAATCCGATAAGATATTTTCGTAAGGGCCTAGTGACCGGATAACACGACTCACTGAACATTTGCAGCTTTCTGCCTGGGTGGGAATGCCCGAATTCCATTAAAACATCCACATTCCTTCCAAGGATGACGAACCCATAGTAGACAATGGGAGAGTAGCTGTTCGCGTTTGCGTAGCCGGGGTTGCCCATGCACAAGCGTGGAGTGCCCCATCTTCCAAACTACAATTCATGCTCTCATTTCGTCTCCACGCGACCCAGAAGAGCAAACCATCGAGAACATTTTCGCGTTGTCAGGGACTTTGTATTTAGGTCTATGCCACACCAATGAGAGCTATTATTTTATTTTAAAGTTGGGTGGCGGCGAGGAAGAAAATTCCGGAAATATTGGGGCCAGTGGAATGATCGATCTGCACCTGGGCTGGTACTCCAGGTTCTTTTAAATATTTTTTGGCGAGAGTAAAGTTCACCCAATATGAACTAGGCAATATGAACGAATGTCTTCATTCTCTCACCTGACCAGGTTCTTTTTCGGTTCCATCCCAGGCCAAATAGTGCTGACGAAAGAAGTCAAGTAGGAATCCTGCGCCTTTCCGAATCGGAAGAGAAGGACAACATCCCTACTGGAGAAGAGTCCCCCAAGCCTCGGCTCCGTCAGCTGGTACACCACCCAGCAGTCGTCATTCAGTCGCTGTCGATCGAGGTACCAAAAGTTGCCGTTAGCAAGCCATGTACGTCTTGTAGTTGATCTTCTCTCGTATTCGATTTAACTTGGATGTGCAGGATTAAAGAAGATTCAATTTTTTAATATTAGATTAGAAGTTCAACTTCCATGACTTCATTAGCTGGTGAAACTAAAAGACTCCAATTTTAAATAAGCAACTCAGGCGAAATCGTAAAAACTATTTTAAAATCACTTTTCTCGTCAAAATCCAGATCACGTTACATTGATATTGGAGAATATTCTAATAGAAAGATATGCCCGGAAACAACGAAAAGTACACATTTGCCAATGTAACAGGAATGTAACGCCGCCTGAAGGTAGATATGCTGGACCCATCGTTTTACTCTAACTGTTCTATTCCTATTTTCAACTTGGCGCAATATGAATTATCCTGTTTATACTATACGGCATGTCGATTGCGTCGTGATTCCTACTGGTAACCAAGTCATGAAATGTAATTTTCCATTTTTTTATGATCATATCGTAAGAAATTCCCCTTTCAACTTTTTCTCCTGTTTCCAAGCAGCATCTTGCGAGACTCGTGCAAGCGCCATCTCGAAGCACATCCCAACCAACGGACCTGAATCATTTTCCATTCCTTGATGTCGGCGTACCAATCGGCAGTGGCTGCCAGCGTGTGGTCCTTAAGGTCTCGAAATGCCCAGTCGCAGTCGAAATCCAGCAGGGCCTGAGATGGAGAAAGAAAAGCAATGGAAAACGTTAATTTTTCAGTTTTGTTAGGAAATCGGTACCTTTTTTTTTTACAAAGTAATTCTGTTCCTGAAATCCAAGGGGAGAAATACATGCAAGTGCATTTTTTTTGTAACCTACCTGAAACAATTGTGAATTTGACGACAATCATTACCACATTTCATTCCTCTTTTCCTTCTGGTGTCACACATATATTCTTATGAGAACGGAAGATATCGGTCCAGGATTGACTAGCTAAAACCAGGCTTCGATTCCTCGAATTTACGGAATAGAGTAGGCGAGGGAGACGTCGCATGATAAGTACCTACGAGTACTTTCGATTCCCCGTGGCGTTATGTTCCAGGTTTCTTATATCATTCTAACGATTATCCATCGCTTCCATCCGTGAAAGCACGGTTCCACATTCCAAAATGTATCCATTTACTCTATTTTAGCTGCTAACGGACTTTTAATCCCCTTACTTAGCAGTATGTAACCAACAAGTAGAAAGCACTCCAAGCATACTACTCAAATTTCCTGACATTAAATACACTTTCACTTTTCTAGCGAAAAACGAGAGATAACCTCAGTCAAGAGGAAATGCGTCTTCGTCTCTTGATCGAACAAAGATTTGATGGTGATTTCCTCCTCGCCGTAATCCTTTTCCAGGTTCCAGTCCTTCCTCTCCAGGTTGAGGCGGAACTTCTCCAGCGCTCTTTCACCTGCATCCCCGCATTTCTCCGCCAATAACTGTTGAGCATGCAGCATTCCCCCTCCGAATACCGGTTTGCACAAAAAAAAGCGTCCTGTTTGATGCTTCTTAAACGGACCGTGGATGCGCTACATGACTGCCTGTCTTCTTATTGCAATGTTCTTTGAAGTGCGGTGTCATCATCATATCTTAGTATGGAATACGTCACCAAACGAAAGGTGCGCTCCTAAAAGGGCTGAAGAGGAGAGTACACTGAACGGATTCGTAATTTGATAAGAAATCAAATTTTCTTCTCTTTAGAACCCAATTTGATCTCATTTCCGATCCAGCTACGGCCTTTTCGTTAATTGCCTGGTGATAAGATCTCTCACATTCCCTCTCCCCTATTCGTCCTTTTGCCGTGAATCAGCAGTTTAGCAGCCGAGAACAGTCAAGTCAACCCAGTCATCAATTATAAATTCCGGCACTGAAATTGGCACGGACTTAAAGGAACATGCTTTGTGCATCACTTGGCCAGGCTCCCGCCCTCACGGGCAGAATTCACCGATCGCAACTCCAAATACTCAACGTGGCATACAAGAAAAATGACACATTAGGAACAATAATCATGAGTGTCTCGCCAGTTCTATGCTGTAAGTATGTCCTGAGTTTCATTCATACTTGCATTACACAGCAAATATAAAAGGAGAGATCCCGCACTCTCAGGAGTGTGCATGCATTGTCACTGGACAGCCACTCAAGGGGTGAGCATGATCACCATGAATCTAGGATGAGAATGCTCACCGTGGTGTCTAGAGCCCTTGGCGGTCGAATGGTTATACTCAAGTGCAAATGCCTAACATTCTATTCATGATAACATCAGTTTCTTTGATGGGATGCACACGCGCCTCAACTTCGACCTTCAGAGTATATTTGCATTCCCTGGCGAGATCCATTCAAAGTCTATTTCCACTCCTGGGAATTTTTTCTTGTGGGACCCATTCTCACCCTTCATGAGTAACGCATTCCCTCCTAATTACCTTCTTGAGGACATATGACGTGCTACTATTCTTTCGATACTAATAAAATGCAATATGCGCCGATGCGATAGTATCGGCAAGGCACCCTATACTAGACAATTTATTCCGTAAAGCTTGTATTAATAAATCTCCATGACGATCTGTTAATTCATGTGAGTGTGTTACCGTATAAAAAAAAAACGCATGATAGACTTGTCTAAGTCTTTCATTCGTAATTTTTTGCGAACGATGCACAAGCCGATGGGAGCCTCGTTTAAGGGGGCAACAGACCTCTGGATATGATGAAAAACGAGATAAGATTTCATCTTGGATTACCCCCCCCCCCCCAGAGGTCACCCCCTCCTTAGTATGATTTGGCCATGGGTTGGGGCAGGTGCGTGTTACGCCTCGGGGGTGCCTGAAACCTTAATTCGCCCGTTTTTGTAGTTGAGCTGGTCTACCCCCTGGGGTGGGGATCTGTTCGAGGCGGTAATTTCTCCTGCACACTCCTAAGAGTGCTCTATGGGCTTCTTAGGGAGGGGATGAACACATACAAATGAGCATGCGCCGCAATGTCCATGCACAACCTACGCTCATCCATATTATTCGCAGAGTACCTATTACGAAAAACCTTATGTATTTATGCTGTCTCTTGACACATGGATTTCCCGCTTGCCACAATTCATATCTTGGGACGAACGTGACGATGCGACGTAAGTTCAAATTAATTGTAACCTCACCTACAGGGATTTGTCTGGATGGGCAATAGGGGTTGTCGCGAAAGGACAGTGAGGAGATACGAGGATTGTCGCAAAAAGACTACGTTTTCATATACACGTAAAAGACGCGAGATCCTCTTTCGTCCTAATGCTCTAAATTAGCCATCCAAGTCTCACCTTCTCAGCTAAGGCTTCAAGACGTTACATTAATACAGGGACAACATGGCAGCATTTCAAAAAAAATAATAGGCTTGCTTCTTGGCGTCAAAGGTAGCAGTGTTCAAACCGCATGGGTGAAAATTTAGTCGTAAACTCATCGTGTTACAAAACAATTACGAACCTAGAACTTCCACCTTCGGTTTTATAAAGCGTCGAACAGGACACTGTGCATGTCAGCTATGAGAGATGTGCTCAATCGAAAGGATAGCGAAACTGACCTCATTAACCTCAGACATTCCAACTGTTGGGCCAGGAGTAACACAGCAGGAGGGAAAGGCGAACGTGATGTGGAATGCCTTCATCGAGGGAGGATAGGCTGAAAGGATGACTAAGAATGAGATCGAGCTGACCTTGGAAATAGCCGCAGCCATCGTAATAGCGAGGAAAAATGTGGAACATGCATTGATTCATTCATGCAAGCTCATCCATATGCAGGAAACAAAAGTTTATTCTACGGAAGACTGGAGCTCGCAGTAAAAAAAAATGCGATTGGCAAATCGTGACGGCTGTTTGCTTCATCTTCACTGTATTCTTCCGTTCGTGTGAGCTGATTTACCATTTTGAATTCGAAATTTCTGAGACTGGGACTCCCCCAGTGGTGGTTTTTCATTTCCCGTGGTTGTGGTCTCGGGTCTGCGCGCCGAAACTAAGGTGTGTTGAGGATTGCAGGGCGAAACAGTTCTGCTAGGTCTGGAAGGTGCGCATAGTACGCTGGTTTCAAACTACAACTCGATATAGGGAATAGGATTATTTTTCTTAACTTTTGAAGCACCATGCTCCCATTGATTTGGTGCCAATTGGAACGATAGGTGAAATGAGCTTTGACGAATGACATCGGCGAGCTGAGTGTTGCATTTCCAAATTTTCCGGATATATTCATATTTTATTTTGAACATCTCGAATTTCGTATTTACGTATTAACACACATCACATGACATATTCTTGCTTCGTCGGAGGTAAACCATAGGTGTCGTTCATGAATGTTATTAATAAAGTGTCGTCAAAAATGTTGCCTCCGCTGAACATATTATTTAGAAGAGAAAATTTAAAAAGATATTCCAATTCAATTTTGCCTACAATAGTAAACCTTGGAGTAAAGTTTTAAGATTCATTCACTCACCGACCTTCAGGCAAAATGCCTAGGAAACGAAAAAAATATGCGAACAATGCACGGGGCTATGGAAACATCTGTTAAACCAGGATATGATCCAAAACGAGATAGGGAGATGACAAGATTTCATTCTCGGTTACCCCCCTGTGCCAGAGTGATTGCGGATAGGGTAGTGCACACATACATTTTTTGACACGATAATGTCGTATCGGTTTCTCAGCAGATCTTTTGTCGGTTGAGAGGAAACTGTTTTATTGACCCTACTCTGCAAGATCCAAGAAGGAAAATGACTCCTTCAAGGTTAGAGAATTCATAGCAGCGTTCTTTTCAATTTTAATACCCCTTCAGCAGACTCCTTGGTAGCACATTGAAAAAAATTCATAGAAGCTTTCCATCATAGACAAATAAGTCGAAAATTTTCCATTCATCATCAAAGACATCTCTCTTTCTATAATAAAAAAAATATGAATGGCGTATTACGACTTAAAGTGCCTCAGGTAAAAAACTTTTTGAACGCCCCTCGTATCAAGCTCTAGATGAGCACTATTGCACGACCACTCTTTAGGAATGCATTTTTTAGAAAATTGCGATGGTAAGCACAGGTTGAGGAGAAAGAACGAGAAACAGCCCTTGGCAATGGCACTCGTGAAGGAGAAATGGTACGGAGAAACATGGATCCATCGTGACGAGACTGACATTCATGCATCCCCATCAGGTGTTTCTTGGCACTGTATACGCGTCCCACGGGAAGCGGCATGGGCCCCGTTGCACGAGGAGGTCGGAGCTTGGGTTCGTTGCAGATGGAGGAGGGGAGGGGGATGGGGGAGGGGCGGTGATAGTGTTCGCCGTGTTTTTTGCTAGACTGCCGATTGTCAGATGAATGAAGAGATTTGATTGTTGCTGCGTCGATTTCTTCTCAGCGAGAAGTCCAGTTCCGACGATTGAGTAAAAAGTGAAGAAATGAACGCTTTGTCTGTGTAGTCTGGATATTCTCAGAAAAAGCAAAACCATCATTTCGAGGTTTTACATAGATATGTCCTGGACACATGAAAAGCAAGAAATATTCCAGGCGAAACATTATTCTCTTCTGCGTGAAGTCACCAAAAGTGCTGCAGTCCTTGTCGGAAATAGACGGCAGTGGAGACCAAGAAGTCCTCCTAGGAGTAGGAATGTTCTTGTTCCTTGAGGCAATGACTCCTCGTCTATGATATATCTGGTGTGGAACGTTAATTGATCTCATGTTGCCTGGGGTCAACAAGGGTTCCAGTGCAAATATCAATCGACAAGGTCGACAGGCCTTTCTTGACTGATCTGCACACTGAATCTTTATGCGCTGATGAGTCGATAAGGGCCGGTAGCTCATGTCGACTGATCAGCGCAGCAGTACTCTTTCAAGATTCTTAACAAAAGTTTAGTTTCTCGGCTAAATTCATTGGAAGTATTTAATGCTGAGAGAATGCAGTTCAGACAGACCTCTTTGACCCACATCGTACATATAATAAATTCTACGCACCTTTTGACACATTGAATGCGTGTCAAATTAGGGACAACTTTCGAAGCAGCATTTTCGCGTTAAGAAAGTTTTGTGTGAACTCTTACGGCGCCGACATTGAGTTCAATGAGAGACAGCAATTTGAGAAAAGCCAAAGGCCCTCAACGATGAAGAGAGCGCGGAGTCGATGACCTCAGACGTGCTGCATTCGTGGCTTCGAAAGGCGACGGCGACCAATTTTATCTTTTTAAATTTCGTCACTCTGCGAGACCTCATAGCAAAGGACGAAACCAAAGTACCTAAGAGATCAGATCGCGCATGCAAGCTGCAGAAACGAAGCGCATGCCTTTCGGTGGCCGGTCAGAGATACCAAGTCTGGCGGTTTAAGCACGCCTGTGCTTACACTTACTCCTCACTACCCACACTCGTGTCGGAGTAATCGGAGCATCTCTGCAGGGGTAATAGGAAAACTGCAATTTTCACCGTTCATTCGTTTTCCTATTGGCAAGAAAGCTTAAAAAGCATTGTGATAGGCAAATACGAGACTTGGAAATAGTGCAAAGTCTGCTTCACACGGTTTAACGAGAATTGTGTTCCAGGATGATGAGTAGAATTGCTGAATGTGCAGGGACTGAAATATATTGAAGAATATTTTTTATTTCTGTGGAAAGCAGGTGCGTAGCTTTTAGTTGGATAGGTTCATAAGGTTTTCAGAAGCTCTCTCGCGTTGCAAAAAAGATTTTGGTTTCTGCTTATGTTAAACGCTTACCTCCCGGTTCCAGGTCGAAAGGGGAGAAATAAGAACGGGTGAAAGCGTTCACGTTTTTCCTTTTTACTCATTCATCGGAACTGGACTATTCCCTGAAAAGCAATTGCCGCCGCAGCAGTCAAATCCTTTCATTCATTAGAAAATCGACAACAAAAAACACGGCGCACACGCTTCATCCCCTCCTCCCTCCCCCTGCCCTCCTCCACCTGCAACGAGCCCAAGCCGGGACCTCCTCGTGGAACGGGGCCCATGCCGCTTCCCTTGGGACGCGGATCCCGTGCCAAGGAACACCCGATCGGGATGCATGAGTCTGTCACGATGGATGCATGTCTCTCGATCCCATTTCTCATTCACGAGTGCTATTGCCAAGGGCTGTTTCTCGTTCATTCTCCGCAACCTGTGCTTACCATCGCAATTTTCTAAAAATGAGTTCCTAAAGTGTGGTCGTCCAATAGTGCTCATCTAGGGCTTCATCCCAGCGACTGGGATTGTGAATGAGTCACTCCAAGTTGTTTACTTGCGAGAATGGGGATTTCTTCGTCTCGTCGCGACCCGCTTTCGGAGTTGCGCGATCCCTTCCCGGCATCGAATGTTGTTCGAATGGCATCGAATGAATTGATCCACCAATTTCAAGCGTTGATAACACTTACTTGACACTGTCACAACCAGATCCCGGATGGAATGATTAACTCTTTGGTTTCATCTCTTCATTTCAAATGATCTCTTCAAAATACTTAAAAAAATAATTTATTCATGAAAATACACTGGAGCATCGGACTTTTCGAGTTCATGTCGCGGCCGACACAAATGGCTAAAGTTTTTGCTTCAGGGTCCCCTCGACCCAGAACGGTCGCTAAAGAATATTTAAACGCTTTCACCGACACCCCCCAATTCTAGCCGATTGCAATAAATGAACTCCCAAGGGGAATTCCTTCACTAAGGCTGGAATGTCGAAGAATGGGGACGAAGCAAGACAGGATCCAGACTGACCTCCATTCGCGCTCTGGCGACGCGTAGTGCTACCGAAGGGATAAAGATGCGCGGAATTCATCGGGTGACATCCTTTCTCCTAGTCCAGATTAAGGGATGGAAAGGGATGTCGATATGAGGTCGTCAGTTGGTCGGGTTTTGTTTGGGAGGGAGGTCATGGAATTACGTTATCTTTTCATGATTACTCGGCAACAGATTTTCTTTCTTCCAGGCGTCTTACGATTTCCGCTTTTTTTTTTACTTCTGTTCCTTTACCTAATCTGCTCTTAATGTCACACTCGATGCATTTGGACACAGTACCGCTTCTCGTTTCATGTAGATCCGGGATTTCCTTTCGGAACGTGCCCTGCTGATCTTTTCGAACTCCCTTCCCCCAGCTCCCCCTGTCCCCTATCCCCCCTCCCCCTGTCCCCTATCCCCCAGCTCCCCCTGTCCCCTATCCCCCCCTCCCCCCTGAGCGTGTTTAGACACCAAAGCTATTAGATCCTAATGATTGACACACTCCAGACATCGCCCTTCAAGATGTTTTCCTTCTTTCAGATTCCCTTCATCTCGCTTGCGTACCGTCCAGTAAGTTTGAATGTTGGAACTCTCATGCCCCACCTGTGAGCCACCCGTAAGTCATCCGTAGCCCCTAGATTTGATCGAATTTGCCCGACGAGGTCGCTTTGCAATCTCCCTGTTGGAAAGCGAACGAGAATATCGAAGTGGTACATAAACTTCAGCGGTGGTACAATAATAATTCTCCCTTGTCCATTCATAATTGTGACATTCCTACTCTCATAACCTACTCGTTCTTTGCCTCGCGATGAATTCTCGGAAAGTTCGATTCCCAGTCGCAGATATTTCAGAATAAGACAAGTCCCTTCGGATTTCCCCAAATGTCCTGAACTGCTTCTTTTCTACAGGAAATTTAGATTCGTGTCCCTGGCGGATTTATTTCCTTCTTTCTTTCTGAAGGATTAAGGTACGGAGACCATTATGATGAAATTTGAATAGGCTGTTTCCAACGGTACCCCAGAATATTCTTAGCTCAAAACTGTGGATTGGTTTTTGTACAAGGCATAACTGGGATTTCTAAACAGTTCCATTTATTGTAATATGATAGTAAATATTATATCGGAACGATGATACGGAGAAGCCCGGCGGTGCATTGGTATGTGTCTCCTCGCGTGTTTTGAAAGACTGTAAACAGCATGGTCTTCGTATACTCGCTCGTGTCTCGGGGTTCAAAGGCCGTTCTAGTTTTCAGGTCTTCAGAGAAGGCCGATTGTCTTCATTGGCGGTGCAGCCAATTGCGCGAAGCCATCCTCATTGTCTCAGTTAAGTCCACCGCTTAATTTTGAATAAAATCTATATAAAAGGTTATTATTGATTATTGCGTCTAATAAAGCGCTCCCTATCTTTATTTCTAACTGGAATTTCCTTGCTCTGTGAGGTACATGACTCAGTTCGGACTTAAAGTCTTACGGACTTTTTTTGAATCGAATATAAAAAGGCGACCTTGTATCCGTTTATCAAGCCATAACAAGCACACGTCGTGCGTGCCTCTGGCGCCGCTCGATTGGAAGTGAGGAACGAGCAGATCGACTGGAAGTGAGGAGGCTCGTCCTGGCTGGTCGTGAATGCTGACGTCGGGGGAGAAGCTGTCTCGCTGATTCGCAGTGCGGAGAGTGAAAATTTTTTTTGCAAGTGTGGATGAAGGAGACGGGAAAATTTGGCAATTTCGCATCCGCGAAAATTTTCCCGCCCTTTTTCATCCGTGCGAATTGGCATTTCGCGATGCAATCGCTTTGCGGAATTGAGCATCGTGCTTTTCTTTTTTCGCAGATCGGAGGAAGCGAACGACCGGAGAGATGAAGACGATCTTCATCGTCGAATTGATCGTGAAGACCATGCACTTCCTCCAGGACGCGGCCCTCTTGTGCCAAGATGGCCTGGCGTCCGTCAACTCCTCCGTCGCGCAGGTAATGACGTCGAAAGACGGAATGTCCCTTCTGTCTCTCGATCAGAATAATCGCCCGTAATACCCGTGGAAGAAACTTTTTTGGCAACGGAACTAAATTCAGCTCTGGCAACATTACTTTTTCCAAATTTAAAAATAAATAAATACGTTTTTTTAAAGTTGAGATCTCATACCTCTCATACCATAACCACCAATCGTCGCTCACGTAGCAGAAGATTCCAGTCACGTGACTCGCAAAGGTGTCTCGGGTACCTGAAATCGCTTGAAATGTTCTTTTATGTTCCTTTATTTTTTCAAAAAATGGCCCCTGTTATATTCCAATAGACTAAATATGAATTAAATAAATAAATGCATAATTAATAGAATACGACTGCCAATAAAAAATAAATAAAACAGGATGACTTGGAACATGTCTGCAGACGGAATCTCGAGGATTGGTCGATGAACAAATATGCGACAGACTTTTCTCATTCAAACTGTTTAACGGTAATTGTTCCTGTTTGAATAGTTTATCAAACTCGTCAGAATTTAGAACACATTTAAGAAATGGCGAAAATTTGCACCAGAGCCATCTCGCACGAGTAGCGACCCTCACCGTGCACGATTCCGACCGGCAGAGTGAATGCGAAAGCGAAAGGCCAGCGAAAAATGAACGGATCGCCCGCCAAGCAGATTACTTGCGATGCATCGTATTACGAGAGCGAAACTGTATTAGTGCATCGATTTCTCCAGCCAGTTGTACGCGTTGCTGCATCAAAAGTTATACGCGTTGCTGCATCCAAACAGCGCAAGTTCTTTGAAATGTGGCAGTGCCTTGAATGCTAAGGAGATGAGGGGTTGTGGGTTTTAATGCATGGTGCTGGCAGTGCTTATTCCAAATTTCTGGATATTCTTACAATTCCAGGATGTATTTTCAAGGTTTGCTAGCCCTTCATCCACCTAATTCAATTGGCCCGCTTTCACTCCATTCCATGAAAATTTGCTGTATGATATTGTCTCTTATCCCGCGGTAAGTTATGCGAATATTTCCCGGCGGCTGACACGTTGGACTGGGTCGCACGTCTTGCCTGCCGTTTGGCGAGCAATGCATGCTCTCCCCGGTAGGCTACACATTATTGCATTGGAATGGGTCTGCCGTAGATTCATCAGTCGTGGAAGGAGAAATGCGAGGAGGAAGGGGAAAAGGCGCAGGAGAAACTCCACTTCAACCTGGAAAGGAGGAACTGGACGCTGGAAAGGGAATGCGACGAGGAGGGAATCACCGTCAAGTACGCAAGAGATCCGGAGACGAATACGTATTTCCTCCTCACTGAGGTCATTTAGGTCTCGCTCTTCCAAACGTTTCGCTTTCATTCCTTTGGACAAAAATTTAAATAACGGGTGTCTTCCTTCTTATTACGTTCAAGCTATGGACATTTTATCGTACTCTTCTGTGAAAGAGGGATCGAAATGAATTTTGAATGGATCTATGTAAGGGGTATGCAAGTCACGTGATGAAATAATACCTCATCACTTAAAACGCTCCTCGATAAAACTTTTGCTTCTAGGAGAGCGCGAAATGAATATCATGAAACTTTGATGTTGGAAATTTTATGTGCTGTCGCCCATCACTGGGTCCTCTATACCCTATATATAATAAATAAGTAAATACAATTTTTAAGCTAGTGTGTATTGGAAAATAAATATAAAAAATCGAAGGAAGGGGGGAAAATGGAAGGGGGAATCCAATCCTGGTGATATACTTCGACGCACATTGTGTGCAATGTGCGTGAAAGGATCAAATACAGGTTATCAATCCGAATTTAGGCTGTCCCCCGCTTCCTCAGTTTTTCGCAAGGGTGAAGACAGTTCCCGTGTACCTTGAAGTGCGCAAAAAATAGTGCACTGATTGAGAACAATCCTTTGGTGCTTTAAAAAAAAAATTTGAGCTTCCAACAGTTTATGTTCCGTTTCTGTTGCTGCTGAAATCGCCTGACATAATGAGACGGTGACAGTTTTCCTTCTTCTTCTGCAGGTCCCGCTAGATCTGGAGCTCGAGTGGGTGGCCCAAGACATGCGGTACCACACGTTGGCGGCCACCGCCGAATGGAATTCCGATAGCATGGAGTTCACGATCCTCGAGGTTTGTCTCCATCGGGTTGATCAGAATATTCGTGGAAGGTCGTGTGTTCAGAATTCGTCCATATACATTCAAAATATGGAAAGAGTCTCCCACAATGCCATGGAATATACCTATGTGGAACTTGATGTCCACCCTTGAAGTCACATGGCTTCCTATGACTACCCTTCAGTTCCCCCGAAGCTCAAGGTCTACATCAGAAATTTTAAATAAGTTCATGGATACCTAAAACGGTATGATTATCATTGCGCGTGAAGGAGCTGTGAAAAGTGAACGTGAGCGTCGATTCCTTGTTATGCGACCTCATAAAAGGAAAATCTAACTTTTTACCTAAGATAAATGCCTATCCCGTTTTAACAAAGGCTGGACGACCATAACTATTGCAGCAAGAGCATTCAGACCCTATATTTCAACTTGCCCTATGTCGATTGGGCAAAGATTATATCCTCAGGATCGCTGCGAAGTGGCAACGACCTTTCTTTCCACGATTGAATTGAATCGCTTTTGCATTGGACAGCGGATGACACACATGTGCTGGGTGGCTTACCAGGCGACGCCTCCAAAACTCGGGGGCATCATCGCCAGTCGGGACATGGTCATTTACATCATCACTCGCTTCGTCAATGGCTCCTACTTCGTTTCCACTAGCAGCACGGAGTGGCCGGGGATGGAGCCGAGGGAGGACAGAGTGAGGTAAGGAGGCTGCTTAGGGGTTAAATTACGATTTGTCGAGATTTTCTGATTGGGAGAAACTTTGAAGGGAGAAAGCTTGCTTCGAAATATTGCAATGGTGTCTTCGCGCATTTTGACTGCTCGAATGCGAAAATAGTTTCTTCAATATTGGAAGATTCGAGAAACTCTATGGTGGGATACATTCAGTTGGCTTCGACTGAATTCAGCCAGTCGGTCCCACCTGATCTGATCGTGGAAATCATTCTCGATTCACACCTCTTGGAAACTCAGCAGAACTTCGGATGACGAACTAAATGTTTTTGCCGATTCGCTGGAATTTTATGATTGGGTGACGAACAAAGGGGGAGAAGAATCGTGTTTATTTTTTTCTTTGCTTTTACTGTTGCAACCTTTCCTCAAAATAGAGTAATACTGCACCTGGGTATGGACGATTTGATTTTTATTTCCACATTTCTGAATTACTAGAAAATAGTGAGAGAAAAGAGGTGCTGATTTCTCATTGATTATGTTGCTGTGAGTATTGAACTGTGCGAAAATATATTTTCTAAAGAAATGTTTTCTCTTTGATGAGACTTTCTCGAAATCAATACAACTCTAAATAAAGGCATTAATTCACCCTTGAAATAAAGAAATTATGGTCCTAAAATAGAAATAGAGGAATTGGATTTTTCTAATTTGGTTAGAATACTTGAGATTTTTGCGGGTGGAAGAGAGCAACAATACCTTGTTGTGCGTGGCTTGTGCAATGCACTATACTAATGCTATACAGATAAAATTATACATTTTATTCGGATGCGCATATTAAGAGGAGGAGAGAAAAAGGAGAATCGCTGGGGTTACTTCCTGTTTCTGTAAATGCTTAGTGCAAGAATATTGCAGAAGTCAGCTACCGAATGAACATGCGGCATTTTTGCGCAGGGCATTCACTTTTTTCAGCATGGAGTTTCGGATATCCGAGATATTACTGTATTTGTAGTGCAGTCCATCGGTGGTCTCCATCGTCTGAAATTCATCGTTTGTTTTTTTTTTTTGCACGAATCAGGGCGGATATGCAGAAAGGAGGCGGATTCTCGCTCTCACCGGACCCAGCGGGGAACGGGACCAGGCTGCGCTGGGTCAGCACCCTCGACTTCAACATCCCCCTCATCTCGAGGATCGTCCCGATGGCGATTCTCAGGAGGATCTACGTGGAGGGATCCCGGAACTACATCGCGGAAATGAAGAAGTATCTCATGGCCAGGCGCGGGGGTCGGGGTGGGCGAGACTGAATGGCAACTTTTGGGAAATGCCATTTCTCCTGAAGTGCCATTTAGGGGAAAGTACTTTGCCACGTCGGAGGCAAACCATAGGAGCCATTGATAGAAGGTAATAATAAAGTATTGGCAAAAAATGATGCTTTCGCTTAAGTGCGTTTTCGAAGGGGAAATCTCCATGGACCAATGAGAAATTTCTAATATACTCCAAGTCAATTTAGTCTCCAATACTAGTAGTGAACCCCAGAAGAAATGCCACGGTACTATCACTCGCAAACCTAGTGGCAAATTGCCTACAAGCTGGTGCATCGAGAATATGCAGAACTATGGAACTGGTGCTATCACACTAATCAGCATTCGAATGTGGTCACGTGTGTTCCTCTGCATGCATTTGGCTTCATGCAGAGTGGAAGATTTGCTTCCAGCCAAAGGAATCGCCAAATGGGGCGCCAAAGTGGTTCGAGTACTTTCACCTAATATGCGCCTTTCCCCTTCGCTGCTCTCCTCGAAATCGACCGTGATCGGCTTCGAATGTTCAGCGGCGAATGTGCATGGAAAGAAAAAAATGTCAGTGCCATTCGTGTACATTCGTAGTGATGTGGCATGGAGAATTCCAAGCATATGTCCCTGGTTCGATGTGATAGCACGACTCGCCGGCGATTGGAAGACCCGGGTTCGATTCTTGGACATTTTTCGCTTTCTTTAAATTTCATTCCCGCCTTTTCCTGTCTGTTCTGCCGGTCGTTTTAGTCCCGCAGACTCACCGTTTTGTTAGCCGCTATATTAATATCAATATTTTCTATTTGTAGATGTTGTGCTCAATATTCTTTATAGAATTGATGCGCATGCTGATCCTTCTCAAAGTTATTTCGAGAGAGAACCTAGCGAATCGGAGGGTAAAGTGAAATATGCTGTCGTGTGAGTTGAACAAAGACTTCTCAGAATGATCACACGCTGGAGTTTTTTGTGGCAAAATTTCCTACTGGGACTGGCAAAGTTCTACCAATGCCCACTTTATTGGTCAGAGAAATTCAGAACTCGATTGCCTGTCCAGGTTGATCGACTCGCATTGCCTGGTTAAGAACAGGCAACAACGTTTCTTCATACCAGTGACTTCGGTCTACAACTGGTAGGTGGATATGTGGTCATGCAAATTTTGCAGAAATCATGAATTGCGATCCATCATTGATGAGCCTCAGAAGTCACTCAAGGCCCCCTTTGACAGGAGCATCTTTTACCTGAAGAAGTCATGACTTCATTCACAGGTTCATTAATTCAGTGAAAAATTGCGAAGTAAAGAAACTGACAAATTGGGTATAGGTGAAGTGAGTAATGAGATATCTGGTTGTGTATCTTTTTTGCCAATAAGGGAACACTTGAGGCGACAAGAAATTTAAGATTGGAGTTGCAGTATAAGCTTTTATTTTAAGACTCAGCTCGGTAATTGGCCGAGGTCAACAAGTTTTTATTGTACTTTTTATTTCATTTTTTATTGTATTTCTTGGAGCGTATCAAATTTATTACAGATTTGACAAAGTGGAAGACAAAGGGTGCAAGAACCGAAAGAGGGGAAGTGGCGGGTAGACCACCTTCGAAGGCGGAGAAAGATAACAATAAAAAGAAAACTAGGTAAAATGAATTCGCACTTTAAGGCGTTCAGGCGCTCATCTATATAGCAGGACAGCATAACAACCTCCTTTCGGACGTCGGAAATAGGCGAATGAATGACTCCATTCATTCGTGGATGACTCGTCATCCGCTGGGACAAGTTCCAGCGAAGGTCTCGCTCGAGGCTCAACAGTCTGGGTGTGATGTAGGGGGGAAGGGGTATTGAAACATTGAACTTACTGACCGTCTTCGATGGGAATATGGCCACGAGTCCAGGAAATTGAACAGGAAATTTTCTAACGTCTAAAGGGCGCCGATTTACAAATCCATGTAGTCTGCACCTAAGAAAATTTGGATCAATTGAGGTTAGATGTATTTTCAGCAAGTACCAGTGCGACGGGGGCAAAAAATGTTGCAATCAGTAACATTATGTGCAAACATGAGCAAATACAGCTCCAAACGTAGCTATCGAAATCCAATAATTCAAAATCACAAAGTATCTTCAAGCAATGCATTTTCTTCAAATTGGCACATCAAGAAGACCTAAATAGATCCTTTGGCCGTACAGGTCAACATTTTCAGTTATAACTCTTGCTCCGCTTCAAAAAAGGAGACTTCCATCCGTTCAGCACAATTGCGTCTTTGCTCGCCAGTGTCTCAATTCGAAGACAGATTTCGTCAATGAGAAATTCATTCCGGTATATATTTTTTATTCCCCCCCCCCACTCCCCCCACTCAGTGCTGAAGAGAGTGGAATGCCTTTAAAAAAATGGTAATTCATCTTCCATTTGCCTCCTGCAAGTCCTCTCAAGATTTCATGTATTCCTGAAAATTCACTCTTCATCTTTCTACTTTAATCCGACGTTAACTTCATGGGGCTCCATTAAAGGACTTCGTTGGATGTCCATGCATATATGCAAAGTCCTCCATTGATCTCAGCCAGCATCAACAAGGACACCTTTTTTTTCACTGCATCATTTCAAGCCTGGATGAAGTTACAAGCGACATTGAACAAGTTATTTGATATCTCTTGATTTCTCAGTTATTAATCAGGAAGGTGATTAGATTCAACTACAGTAAATACCTACTGAAATGAATTTTCAAGAAAGAGATGATCGATGTTGTACCCACCAACTCACAATGGAATTTCGTCCACTTGAGGTTTACTGGAACGTGTGCCAAACTGCCAGCTTTTCTCAAGTAATGCCTCATAGCGTTGATAACTCTTTGAAAGTCTCTTGGGAGCATGACTAATCCAGAGTGTTTAATGAAACTGAATCCTGCAAGAATAAGAACTCAATGAACCATAATCGCGGCAATAATGGCATCTTCACATGACAGCAGGTTCAACATGACGGAATTCCATTAGAGCTATCCGTAAGACACGAATCCATCAAAATATAATTAGATGAGTTCATTAATAGCCAAATGCAAAGATTTAGATTTGAAGGGGAGGGAGGGGATATGACTGGGAAGAGAGTAATAAACGCCAAGGTTTCTGCTAAGGAAGGCAGGAAGCTCCCGTAACTGCATCTCAATTTTTTTCTTCTCATAGGGATTGATTTAACCTTTATTGGACAAACGACACAACTGCTGTGGTACAGTATGCATTTTTCCATGGCCTAAAGATACAAATGCTGTACCGCAACATTTTGGGAAAATGCTCTAATATTAAGTAAATATTAGCATCACTGTCAGCAGTTTAAGAACAATTGAAATATTCAGCTAGTGATTAGAGACCGCTCGTCTGTATTAAGAAACCCTTAGCTGGGGGTTCCGTGATTGTAAAGGGAACACTTGTTCAAGGCAGCCGCTTGAGTACGATCCAGAGTCTCACAGCAGAAATAAGGTAATTAATAACTTCGCTTTTCTGTATGCCTGAATGTGAAAGACAAAATTGAGACCATGATCTGGTTGGCTAGCTTTGAACATCTGCAGCTCAGCCAATATGAGACCGGTTCACACGTGAATAGCACCAATCGAAAGTCCGGAAGCTGGAGTATGATTGGCTGAATTTTTAAAATAAATTGAACACGTCATAATGAAGTTATGAGTCATCAAGTGACACTGTGCCAAACACTGATACAGTTTTGCCCCCCGCTGTAAGTACCTAAAAAATACATTTTCACTTTAGGTTCCAGGTTCCAGAAACCTCTGCTAGTATTATGTAGGACGGGTGGAGTTTGAAGATGCTTTGATCTGTTAAAAACGCATTATGGGTTTCACCGTCAAAGCCCAAATACACCATGAAAGAAGTACATCATATTCACGAAAGGGGTGAAACACCTAGAGATCCAAAGATTTTCATAGATATATTTGGGAAGTGAGCTCTATACTCTCCGAAAACAAAAATCTTTAAATCCGCCGAAAACTGCGATTTAAAAATGTTTAATGGACTTTAAACATTGATTCACATTCAGTCCTACAAACGAGTAGGCCAATGCGTCAAAAACGAGAAAAGAATAACGCCGAGTTTCCCATTGAATTTTGAACCTTCAGTCTTGCAAGACCTGGAGGTGAAGTTGGTGCCTGGACGACAGGTACTTCCGCAAGCCTTGGACGTACTCCCGGCATCCCTCCACATAAAGCTTTTGAATGATCGAGGATGGGACGAGCGGGATCTTGAAGTCCAGCGAGCTGACCCAGCGCAGCCGGGTTCTCGTCGCATTCTGTTCTGGGTCTGGCGAGAGTGATATCCCGCCTCCTTCCCGCATCTCCGCCCTAATGCACCCGCCATATAAGAACAAATTGTATTTGTTATTCCGATTACACATTGATGTACCGTGTTTTCAGGGTATATTGCTTGACGCAAAGAAATGTAATTCATGTATGCAGGTATGTTGGGTGGTTTACAATCACCAAGATGCTAAAATTAGTAAATGGATATCCTGATCCACCGGAAGAAAAAAACCCATGTATGCCCTAGAATCAGCCATGAAGTTCCATATAACTTTGACTCATGGCTCAAAAAGTTTTGAAGAAGAGACCAGAAAATCCTCTGCTGACTGCGAAGATGAACAGAATTCGTTCATTCTCTGTGTCTTCGTTTATTCAGTGTGTGACATCATGCATGTGATCCTTCCGTTTTAAGGACCATCATCAAGGGCAAGCGCGTTTTTTGTTCGTGCACTTTCCAACGATGAGATACGGAGTTTCTCTAAATTATGTAAGCCCCAATGAGAATGAGCGACGTTTCGAGAGCTTCCGTAAATATTGACTGATACTCCTTAATTTCCTGGGTAATACAGCTCCTACCCCTCGAAATAATCAGTGAGCATGGAGAATTAATAATATACAGGGTACGCTCGTCAGCAGCCCAAGCCATAGCACGGAAGAGTTAAAAGGAAACGGATGCGAACATGGCCATTGAATCGCTCCCCATCTCCTTCGTCGGCCTCTGAATCCGCCATTAGCTGGCCATGCGAGAAGACGGGGAGCTGCAAAAACACACAAAATGTCTGGAGGGTCTGCCCCTGAGCTTCGTTAATCGCCATGACAAAGGAACTGGGAAAAAGAAACCGACGCCGACCGAAGATCAAGACGTTTAACTTCGAATCGTCGCTTTGTAGAACAATTTGGGTTGTGCGCTTTTATTTGCGGCCTCACGCCGCTCTGCGGACATCGCAACCCGCCGCGCACGTTTCCGAACGCTAGGCCGAGTTCGTACTCGTGCTCTGCTGCATGCTGGATGCCACAATTGCATACTGTCCAATGCAACATGCCCGTGTTGGATTGGATTTTGCCGCTGCTGTACATGCTGTACAAGCACGAGCACGAACTCGGTATTAGTGGCCTTTGGCCACTGCTTGAAACCATTACCCTGCGTTTGGGAGAGCACACACGATAGCGCTGTGCGCACGCGTGTGTCGTGTGTCTGTATGCGGTGTGCGTATGCCACCGACCACTACCACCATCAACATGGAACACGGTAGATTTTATAATATAGATTTCCAAAAAAAAGAGACTGAGCTGGCAAGGAAAAGAGGTCATCCCCAGATAATGAGTCCTAAGCAAGGAGAATCGGAGAGGAGGGGGGGGGAAATCTTGCGCATGTGATGACATCAGCGAAACGTTCCACTATAAAAGCAGGCGCTTTGCCCTTCACGATCTCATTACCTCGTTGCTTGAGGCCAGGACAGGTCGCACACGCTGTCTCATGCCTCTCGCAGTGGTAATACATCTACTTTCGTTTGTCTGAGCCACCCATGCAGCATCGTACATGAATTGCCGATCTGTTCCTTGGTTTCCATGATATTCGTAGGTATCTTTATTTCATTCCCTCTCTTAGTAACAGTTGTAAAGGACAGTGGCAAGGATTACATTGTCGCGTCTTCAAAGAATATTTATAGGACTCGGCAGGCACGAAATATTTCCAGACAGAGGAAATTAATGAATTCAATCGCTTGGAAGAAAATCTATCCCATATGCTTTAGTGTGCTCGCATCCCTTCTCCTTAGATTCCTATCGGGATCGAAACGCTATAAGGCGCTTGAAAAAAGAAGAAGCCGTTCCAGAAGAGAATCTGGCCGAAGATTCGACGCGGCGTCCCGCGTTCGCGTTCGGCGTCTGACGGAAATTGTTGAACATTTGGCGGTCTGACGATTCATTTCAACCAATGGAGGACGAGCAGGTCCCTCAACTCTTGAGAATGGATATAATGGCGTAAGTACCGGATGACCGTGATCAGTGCTTGGGGGTAGGAATCCTTCGTCAGAAGGTGAAGAGAGCATAGGGAATAATGAAGCTGAGATTAACTCTTTTCTCTCAGGTGGTGCGAAAAGAGAACGGTCGTCGAAGATCCCGAAGGAAATGTGTCTGATTCAAAAACTCGTTCACTCGTTTCAACGGGTTTTTAATGAGTGACACTCGTATCTAGGATCGATCGTATCTAGGATCGATCGCGATCCTGAAGTCCATCTCCGGCACATTCCATGCAAGCCTATGAGTAAAAAATATGAATAAAAGCGGAATGGTTACGACGCCGCGGATATCGTTTTTCCAAGAGTAATCGCTCCTGTTCCATACAGGTGGGATCCAGTCGTTTTTACCCTCCGGAGTCACTCTCCTTGTGAGTGCCGATCGAGGAGAGGACGGGGGAGCCGATCGATAAAGGGGTCGGGATCCCCAGAAATATATGGGCGGAGATCTCATACCGGCGAGGAAGTCATCCTTCCTTCGGTGATGGAAGGGACGAACAAGTGTGATGCGCGAAGTCGTTTGACACATCCATGCGGAAAAGTCTGTAAAGGACGCCCTAAGTAGAGGATGTGGTAGGGTGAGAGGAGAGGGTATGCGTAGAATGCTTCACTCTTCCGTTGTAATATTAGGGTGGCATAGAGAACGTATGAACTGAACTGATAGTCTCGGATTCGGTGGTGTAGTGGAGGTACGCTTAATCGCCAATCAGGACACGGGTTCGATTCTCGCCCACTTCATCATTTTATTTCCGTCCTCTGATGTCAACCTAGCCCCCCCCCCCCCCCCCCAACCCTAGGGCAATTACGTTCTGGAGAATAGATCCGACAGTCGAAACAGCTGTAAAAAAAAAAAAAATACCTTGAGAGAGGGAGACATACACCCAAAGGCAGGCAGAAGATTCTATTGGGAGAGCATATGCGATCACGCAGTGTGCACGCGTGCGTCATGCGTGTGCGCGCGCATGTGCCCCGTGCCACCACCGCCACAACGAACCACAGTAGATTGATTTTTTTTTAAAAAAAGAGACTGAGCTGTCTGGTGAGGAAGAGAGAGGGAGATCGTCCCCAGATGATGATTCCTAAGCGTCTTAGGTCTGGCCTTTCTCGGCTCCCGTTTCACACATTCCTTGTGACCCTGCCTCGTTCCTCTTCTAGCAAGAACATGCATTGAAAGGAAGGTCGAGTGTGGGTTTGCCTCGAATGGGGTTCAGGATTCGGGACGATTCTCTCTTTCTCAGCCTGGAATGCCCCGTTGCTGTTTTCATCCGCCATTCACATAGGTGCTGCTGGGAAAGCCGATGTAGCGATCGGTCTGCCGCTTTTTGTCACATGCCATTCCCATAGGTACTATGGGGAAATGGCTGATATTACGATCGGTGCCTCACTATTTTATATTTAAAATGGTCAAATTTACGTCTGTCCGCAGTATCCATAGCAATCGAGCAACATGACTCGCTACCCATGCGCAGCTTCTCGCCCATCTACCACTAAAACATCCACTTCCCCTCCAGCCATCGCTGATGGCGAATCCACGGTAGACAAAGGGAGAGAGCGGCTGCTCGGTACCGCGTATACAGGGATGCTAGGAGTACCCTTGAAATGCCACATCTGACATCCTACACTTTAAACTCTCCTCCCTTTTCCACGCGACGCGGACGCGTGGACCGTCGAAAACACGTCTAGACTGGACTTTTTGACTGGGACTATTTCTTTAGGCCTGTGCCGTACCATTGGAAGTTATTATGTATTATTTTTTCTAAGTTGGATGGTTAGGATGCGTCGAAGAGGATAATTCCAGTGGTTTTGAGGCCATTGGAATGGCAGATCTGTACCTGGATTAGCACTCTAGTTTTTTAATTCCGTCTTTCTGCGGTATCCAAAGCGACCGGACGACACGATTCACTGCGCATATACAGCTTTCCCCCTTGGTCGGGATGCCAGTCGAAAACTTCCACTTCCCTTCCAGCCCTCGCGAATGATGGATTCATAGTAGACATTAGGAGAGAGAGTAGCTGCTCGTGGCGGCGCTGACAGGGTTGCGAGTGCGCATGCGTGAAGTGCCGCATCTGGCAACCTACACTTCATACTCTGATTTCGTCTTCACGAGACCCGGACGCGTGAAGCATGGAGAACATTGTTCTGTCGTCAGGGACTTTTTATGAAGGCCTACGCCACACTAATGACAGGTATTATCGATCATAAAGTTGGATTTTTAGGATGCGACGAAGAATATAATTGCAGTAATATAGGGGCCAGTGGAATGATAGTTCCGCACTTGAGCTGGTACTCCAGTTTTTTCTTTTTCTTTTTGGAAAGGTATCGTTCACCCGGTATGAACTAGGCATTAAACACGAACGTGTTCCTTCTCTCACCTGACCAGTTTCTTTCTCGGTTCCAGCCCAGGCCACGTAATGTTCACGAAGTAAGTCAAGTTGGCATCCTGCATCTTCCCGAATAGAACGAGAAACACAATATCCCGACCGGCGAAGAGTCCCCCGAGCTTCGGCTCCGTCACTTGGTACACCACCCAGCATTCGTCCGTCAGTCGCTGTCGAGCGGGGAGCCAAAAAGCCAACGTCAGCGAGCCGTGAACCTTTTGCATGGTCTCTCGTCTTCGATTTAACTCAGATGCACCGGATGAGAGAGGATTCTACGTTTTTCACTAGTTCAGCATCCGTGGCTGTATTAATTGGCGGAACTGAAAGACTCCGCTTGTGAATCAGCCTGGCAGGCAGTATCGTAAAAAAATCATTTTAAATTATTTCTTTTCTGGCCAAAGGGTATTCCAGATTGCAATGATACTGCCAACAAATCTGAATGATTCAAGGTGCAGGAACGCAACATTACAGCTATTGCCATTCCTGATTTTACCCTCCCCTTTCTCTCTTCAGCCTTTTATAGCTGTGTTTCCCAATTTATTGACATCAAGCTCTGTGCAAGTCCACTCCTGCGAATATAACGGAAATGTAATGCTAATCGAAGAGAGATATCATGATGGAATCCTTGTTTTTCTCCAACTTTTCCATTGCATTTTTTCAACCTACAGCGACATGCATTATTGAATTAATATCAGATTCCATCCGTAATATCGATTGTGTTCTTACCAATAACTTTTCAATTATGAAACATCAATTTTTTTATCTTTTGCGAACCTGTAGTAAGAAATTCCCCATTCAACTTTTCCTCTGTGCTTGGATTCAAGCAACTTGCGAGAATCATGCAAACGCTATCTGGAAGCTTATCACAACTAACGGACCTGGACGACCTTGAATTCCTTGATATCGGCGTACCACTCGGGTGTGGCTACCAGCGCGTGGTCCTTAAATTCTCGAAATGCCCAGTCGCAGTCGAAATTCAGTGAGGCCTGCAATGGAAATATATATATATATATTTATATTGGAAAACAATAATTTTTTTCTTTTTGTAATTAAGTCCCCATTCGGCACAACAACGTTGTATCAACATTGAGAATAGGTTGAAACGTTGAGACATGGGTGAAGTTGAGAATTCGACGAAAAATCAACATCGATGAAATGCTAGCTCTTCATAATTAACCGTATTTTCAGCATTTGGTGACTACTCGTGAATTAGGGAAGTCGTTCAGAGGCTATTAGGAGCAAATTTTTTAAAATAGTATTCTCAATGTTGGTTTTACGTGGAGTTATCCACATCATATCAACAGAAAATAGGTTCTACAAATCGACGGGAGATGGCACGTAACCGCCAATTCCGCGATTCCTATCCTGATGCCTTTAAATAACCAGTACCCTGCGTTTTTCAGACAGTACCCAATCTTTTCCCATTTACAGCATAGGGGAAGGTATAGGAATTCCTAGATAGACATGTTTAAGAAGGTAATCAGGCAGAAGGAGGCCCAAAGTACTTCTGGCTAGNTTGACTTTTCAACGTAACATGTTGCCATGATGTTGAAATGAAACACAGCTCAACGTTGAAAAGTTGATTCTGTGAGACGCTGTGTCAACGTTGAATTTTCAACGTAAGGGCATTGTAGTACCTCCTCCCTATTCCTGGGTTTGAATGAGCTTTGATTGTCGGATGAAATTGAATATGGACTTCATAACTCCATAGATGGTTCCCAAGAGAAATGATACTATCAGTACCCTTCCGAGTACAATCATCCCCGTAAAGGACCCTCAGAGTTTTATTTCCTCTACTGAATGAGAATTCACAATGAGTACTTGCATGACTCAAACATCTCTCGGTCCAGTAGAGGAAAACAACCTCGCGGGCATAGCTTTTATACTCTATCCATCATGGATGAGCCTAGGTAAAGGCGCCTGCCATGTGGAGATTTAGGAAGATTGAGCGTGTCTTCTCGGACCCACTAGCCAGAAGTACTTTGGGTCTCCTTCTGCCTGATTACCTTCTTAAACATGTCTATCTAGGAATTCCTATACCTTCCCCTATGCTGTAAATGGGAAAAGATTGGGTACTGTCTGAAAAACGCAGGGTACTGGTTATTTAAAGGCATCAGGATANTCTTCTGCCTGATTACCTTCTTAAACATGTCTATCTAGGAAATCCTATACCTTCCCCTATGCTGTAAATGGGAAAAGATTGGGTACTGTCTGAAAAACGCAGGGTACTGGTTATTTAAAGGCATCAGGATAGGAATCGCTGAATTGGCGATTATGTGCCATCTCGCGTCGATTCGTAGAACCTAATTTCTTTTTATACAATGTGGATAAGTCCACGTAAAAACAACATTGAGAATACTATTTTAAAAAAATTGCTCCTAATAGCCTCTGAACGACTTCCCTAATTCACGAGTAGTCACCAAATGCTGAAAATACGGTTAATTATGAATAGTTAGCATTTCATTGATGCTGATTTTTCGTCGAATTCTCAACTTCACCCATGTCTCAACGTTTCAACCTATTCTCTATGTTGATGCAACGTTGTTGTGCCGAATGGGCCCGTTTCTTCACGAATGAAATATGTTCTTCCACTTCAGGGGGAGAATAATAGATCATCGAAAATTTTTTAGTTGAAAAAAAAAGAAGCACTCGGGATTTGGGCGACAAATCCTTCTACAAAGTTTAAATTCCTCTTTTCCACGTGGCTTCACAACACAATATTCCCACACTATATTCTCGTGAAACGGCTTCTTTCACTCTCATGATGTTGCATCGCTTCCATCCATGAAAGCACAGTTCACTCCCCCATCTTGTAAAATACACTATGTCCATGTACTCTTTTAGCTGCAAACGAATCTTTACTCCGCACATTTGACTGGTTGAAGCTGAATGGAAATACCCCCTCATGCTTCACTCACTTCACGCTCAAACTTCGTGACATTTGGCTAGAATGTCATGGCTTTCAAATTTCTTGCGCATCGATCTGACATATGGAAAAAATCGAGGGATAACCTCAGTCAAGAGGAAATGCGTCTTCGTCTCTTGATCGAACACAGACTTGATGGTGATTTCTTCCGCGCCGTAATCCTTCTCCAGGTTCCAGTCCTTCCTCTCCAGGTTGAGGCGGAACTTCTCCAGCGCTCTTTCACCTGCATCCCCGAATTTCTCCGCCAATAGCTGCTGAGCATACGGCAAACACCCTTCTAATACCGAAAAAATGTGTCCTGTTTGATGCTTCATGTTACGGAATATAGATATTTTAGATTCGTCGCGTTTATTCAAACACTATAACACCTATTTAAATAAAGTTGTGAAAGTCTTGAGGTTCGTTTGTTAAAGAGCAATAGTCGGTGAAACTTCGATACTTAAATCTCGCAATTCCAGGTATCGGGTTGAAACGGTTTCTGTATTTCTCCACGGACGGGCCTCATTAATCAGCACAAAGCCGGCTGCTCATAGTTGTGTTCTTTTTGCAATGTTCTTGACAGTGAGGGGTCATCATGCCATATCTTACTATGGAATACGTCACTAACTGAAAAGCACGTTCTTAACAGATCTGGAGAACACATTTGCGATTTGATAGGAAACTCTATTTCTCTTCTCGTTAAACTCCAATCTGAACGGGTTTCCTTTTCCGCTACGGCCTTTTCAACACTCGCCTAGTGATGAGGTCTCTCCTTTTTCCTCCCCTGGTCGTCCTTTCGTTGCAACTCGGCAGTTTAGCAGTCGAGAACAGTCAAGTCAGCCCCGTCATCAAATTTAAGTTAAGGTGTTGAAATGGGCAGGGTTTAAATGTATATACTTTGTGCATGACTTGGTCAGGCTCCTGTCATCACGGGCAGAATTCACCGACGGGAACTCCAAGTATTCAATGAGGTACACTAGAAAAATGGGCACATTAGGATTTATTATCAATACCGTTTCTTCAGTTCAATATGAAAAGTTTCCCCTGAGTTTTATTCATATTTTCATTTTGTAACAAATAATAAAAGTGAAATCCTGCACCCTTGAGGGTGTGCATGCTTTGTCACTGGACAACCACCCTAAGGGTGAGCATTATCACCATGAAACTATGGTGAAAATCCTCACTATTTTGTCCAGAACTCTTGGTGGGTTACATTGCCACACTCAGGTGAAAATGCTAACCCTATATTCAAGATACCATCAGTTTCCTTGATGGGCAGCACACGTGCCTTATCTTCCACCGTCAGAGCGTATATGCATTCCCTAGGTGGATCCATTCAAGGTCACCCTCCAATCCCACCCTTGGTATTTCATACTTTCCCTTGGGTGATCCATTCTCACCCTTCATGGGTAACGTAATCCTTCCTAAGTACTTGATTGAGAACACCTCATACTACTATTCTTCTGATATTAATGATATATTTGATACAACATGCATACGATTGTATTATTAAGGAACACTGTAGTAGACAATTTTGGCCTGAAACTTGTACACGTACTAATCGATCTCCAAGGCGATTTACGTCAGTGAGAAAAAAAACCACGGTAAACTCTAACTTTTATATTCTTGCCCAGGAGAGTCTGCAAACTCTTAAGAGTGCTCTATGAGTCTCTTAGGGAGGGGATGAACACGCACAGGTGAGCATGTGCCTTCAAGTGAATGCACAACCTACACTCATTATTTGCTGTGTACCTGCGACTAATAACGTAATGTATTTGTGATGTCTCTTGATAGATGTGGATCTCCCCGCTTTCCATAATTCATCTCTTGCGACGAACGTGATGTTGATACGTATTTTAAACTGAATCACACATACAGTTATTTGTCGCAATGGGAAATCGGGGTTGTCGCGAAAGGACAGTGAGGAGATACGCGGATTGTCGCAAAAAGCATCGTTTTCATGCAAAAGTCGCGATGCTCTCTTCTCTCTTTCGTCCTCATGCTCTAAACAAACCATCCAAGCCTCACCTTCTTAACAAAGGCTTCAAGACGTTACATGAACAAGAACAGAGGGACAAGAACACAGCATTAAAAAAAGGCGGGTTTCATGGCGTCAACGGAGCAGTGCTCAATGAAAAATTTGTCCTGTTTCCATTGTGATACAAAAACAAATAAGACCCGAGAACTTCTATCAATACCTCCGATTTCACAAGGCGTCGAACAGGACACTACGCATGTCTGACTACGGGAGATGTGCACAATCGAAGGGATGGCCACACTAACCTCTTCTCCAACCTCCGACATCCCAACTGAAGGACCAAGGAGCAACAGCAGCAGGGAGGAAAGGCAAACGCAATGTGGCATGCCTATATCGAAGGAGGACAGGCTGAGAGGATGACTACGCGGAGATCGAGCTGACCTTGGAAATGCCCGCAGCCATCGTAATAGCGAGGATAAATGGGGAATATGCATTGACTCATAATCTAAAACCTCCCTTGCGCTGCGACCGATTTTATCGAGCCCATAAACTTTTAAATGTCATTTTCTTTGTCAAGTTCTATCCGGTTGCATCGATGACGAGGGATGAGATCAAACGAAATTCCCGCGCTTTTCGAAACTTCTCAGGCACTTACAGGAAAGAAGAAAATATGACTTTTTTTAAGGCACGTATAATTAATTTCTTGCTGTGAAGTGTGTTTTAATTGTGTTTTAATTATGTTATGCATGAGCAATCTATAATCCTTTTCCAGTTCGTACATGACACTAAAATAGAAAGTCGGAAATGAGTAAATCTCCTGTCTCTCTCCTTCTTTGAGAAAACACGTCGACAATGCTTCCGCAAACGAATCAAATTTCATAAAATTTAATCCAATAAAGAATCGCAGCTTGTATGGATTTACAAACATTTATCGGTTACATCGGCTTGAACTTTCCCGGTCGAAATTCCAAACTGTCTCTTCCCTTACGGAAATGTCCTATAGGAACATTATAGACTTTCCTATAGGTTTTTGAAACACGAAAAACCTATAGGATCCTTTAGGATCCTATAGGATCCCTATAGGGTCTTCTAGGTCTCCTGACCTATAGGATTCAGGGAGGATATTTTGGGTTTCGAAACCCAGGCATTACGACGGAAAAGGCGACCGGGGTTAATATTTGCGCAGCATTTCGGTGTAAATCAAATAACCGATTAGGGGTTTTTCCATGGTAGGGACACATGCATTATTAATACCTGTACTGATGGGGGTCTGCATAATTTTTGGCCCGGCCCCACTCGTGTCGCTGGATTGCATGTCTACTTCCTTCGGTAGGAAGAAGTAGTCTTCTTCTCTCTACCTAAGGAAATAGAAGACAAAACCTGCGGGCACATCTCTTCACTGAAACTCCATTAGGATAGGGTCTACAGTGTTTCGTACGTGGTTTTCAAAAGGAATACGGCCATATTTCTTCACGGGACTCCATGATTATATCTGGAAGATGGGGATGACAAATAAGGAACTGTCGAAGTTTATTGATTGCTACAATGAGGCAAGGCGAGACATTTGGGGATGTACAAAACTCTCTTGTGATAGATAGGGAGGAACTGCATCGAGCGATGCCACCGTTCCCTTTCGAGTACCAGGGCAACCTTCGTCTCCTCGTCCATCCGACAGGTGGCGACACAAGAGCGAATCTCCGATTTTACGGGGCGATTCGTCCCCATGGGGGTTCATCTTTCAAAAGGGAGAACTTCAAACGGAACCCTATAGGCCTAAAAAGTTCCGTATAAGCCCTATAGGGAACCCTATAGGTCCTATAGGTCCTATAGGGTTCCGTATAGGCCCTATAGGGAACCCTATAGGTCCTATAGAGAATCCTTGAAACACGCTCACTCCTCCTCGACCGTCAGCCCACGGAGCCTCCCCCCCAGTCGATGCCTGAAATGCAGTCTCTCAAAATTATCCTCCAAAAATAGTTTTACGAAACCTTCGCTGGTTTGGCGTTTGTCTTCGTCAGCTTCATATTCCACGTTTTCTCCCAGTGATCCGAATCTCCCAAGTTATCTTGTACCTTAACGTCTTGTGCCAGATCGTCGTAAAACTAAATCCAATAAAGCTTCCTAGCGATTCGGTTTTTTTGGCATGTTAAAATCTCCGACAAGCAATTCTTGTTTCGAGATCTCCCTGATCCTACGCATCGTTTCAATGAAAAATAAACTGCTTCACCCTCACGTGAAGGGTTTGGGGGCTTATACCGAATTCCTAGCACGATCTTCCCAGTTCGACCGATCTCGCACCATAAGTATTCGATTGCGCCACAGTTAGCCCTTGTAAGATCTCTGACGCGAACAACCAGTTCCGTTCTAGCGTACAACACGACTCCTACCCTTCCTACCTACCCTACCTACCCTACCTATCCTATCCTTCCTCAAGATGTCGTACCCTTCAATCTCGAATTCCTTATTCGAAATATGAGAAACCCCCCCGAAAGTCGCAAGTAACCGTGTGTAAGGTACTGGGTACTCATTCCTGCTGTATCAGGAATTGACTCGCTATAGTGACTACTTTGGCGTCATCTAGCTTCGGTTGTGCGAACCTTTCCTTCAAGCAATTGTCAGATGGATGCAACAGATATGCTTCGGCAAAAGAAATCTGTAACGTTCAACGTATGTCCTTCAAATGAGGCAAGCTTTGTGATGAAACGGCACCTTAACTCACCACACAAAAGGTGCACATCGGGTGTTCAAAAACCTCTGAACGGACTTTGAACGTCCTCGAGGGCGTATATATGCTATATGGGGATTGTCATATTTATAAAGCCTGCAGGTCTCATTTGACCGTGATTATCCTTGGCGTTTGATCAGGTGAATGGAGCATTGTTTCGTCAACGAATGTGCATGTGGGAATTTAGCAATCCCCGAACCGAAACGGCAATCCGACCCTAATGTCATTTGTTAAAGCTCATTTCACGTGGCACCTCACCACTTCAATGGAGCATGGTGCCCATAGATAATGAAAAAAAAAAACATATTCCAACTTACGTAGGATTGTAGTTTGAAAGCAGCGTATTACGTGGAGCGCACCATCCAGCCCAAGCGAGTGTCTCCCACTGCAATCTACCACACACCACAGTGTGGGCGCATGAGCGCGAGACCGCAAGCGCGGGAAATGAACTACAAAAATTTAGGGAGTCCCAATCTCAGAACCATCGACGTCTGGCATCGTACATCAGATGATACGAATGGCGGAAGTTCAGATACGCGCAACAAACAGCATATTCACGCTTCCCAAATCAATTTTTTTTTACTGCAAGCTCCCGTCCCCATCTACCAATGCGACCGCTATACGCGAATACAACAGAACCATCGAAGAACTCTTGCGCACATCGGCTTCCTTTTGTCGTTCGTTAACGCTTTCAAAGGACTGCGGCGACGAAAGAGCGACGAAAGAGCGACGAAAGAGCGACGAAAGAGCGACGAAAGAGCAAGTTGTTTTGCAATTTGAAATTCTTCCTTTTGAAAGATGAACCCCCATGGGGACGAATCGCCCCGTATTTCATCATGGACGCTTGAAATCCCCGGATTCCAACAGGCAACAGGCGGGAGGAACTGCATCGAGCGATGCCACCGTTCCCTTTCGAGTACCAGGGCAACCTTCGTCTCCTCGTCCATCCGACAGGTGGCGACACAAGAGCGAATCTCCGATTTTACGTGAAAATAGACTCATCTCCCTTTTCTGAGGCCGATTAATAAATTTCATTTCGCAAATGTACATCCTCGAACGATGAGGAAGATTTGCGTCGAAACTGCATTTTCATATCTCTGGATATATCTGGACCTCCTAAAGTTTGAAATATTAATATAACATTATCATTTTGATACATGGAAAATCATTCGGAGTTTTGTACTTGTTGTATTCCATGGAATTCAAATCTCAATTTAAAAAATGAATTTGGAGCTGAGAATGAGAATGCTGGAATGAAACCGCAAAGAAAAGAGTTTTCCGATAAAGTTGGTGAAGTGAAACTTTTAAAAAATTTAGTTTCATGAGTTTCGTGCCGTTTTATGTTGCAATCTGACTGACTATCCACGCAAGATGATTTTTCCGTTGTGAGACTGAAGGGAACTCGGGGCTCGAATTCTGATTATGATTCCGCAAAAATTTCTCGTCCGGTATTTGTCAACCAGAGGACGGCTTGATTGCCAGAAAGTTCGTCTTAGCGATTGGGTTTTTTTAAATTTTCAATGAGTGCGATTATTTTCTCTTTACATATATCCGATTCATCGAAATTGAATAATCTTGAATTATTCATTATCATGGCGATGATTAAAGATTATTATATCGATAATGATAGTGACTATTCAGCATGAGCATGTCCTTGGCGGACGCATGAGGAACAGCTTCGTTGTTTCCACTTTTCGCGTTTTCCAATTAAAATTTGCTATAACGAAAAAATTGTGTTCGCTGGAGTCTGTTTGAATGCATCAGTGAATATTTTTTTTATAGAAGTGTTTGCGATTGATTGATGCGTATTCTAAGCAGTGGCGGAAAAAGGGGGGGGCGGGGAGGGGCGACCTATGGCCAGGTTAGCATTTCGTTTATTTATTCAAAATAGCATCTGCATTACATTTTACTAGAGGCAGTGAAATTCATAAGTTCTTGCCCCACACGAAAAATAAAAAAGGCGAAAGGACAAGGAATGGTGATAGGCGGAGGGGGGGTAGGAAATTTGGAACCACTATGAAAAATTTCTGTATCCGCCGCTGATTTCTAAGTAAGTTCCCGATATGGTAAATATCTCAAATTCAGCACACAATCAATTCTCCGCGTGATGATTTTATGATAAATCCCTTCGGGTCTCTTTAAGGATATGGGCGTTTTTCCGGAATTTTTCACTTAGGAAAAACGTTCGTTACAATTGTCTTGCAAAAGGTAATATACACTTGAAGGGAAAATTCTGAAAGAAAAGAAAAAATGAGCACCCACCCCGAACCCAAGAAAGGCTACAAATTAGAAATAGCCCGAATATCAATCTAACCAGGAACTGAGTCGAGCACATCAGCATCCATGTAAAGTCAGCGAGAGCCAAGTCGAAGCAGCTATACAAGCGAGGTAGGTGAGGTCTTCTATGAGCAAAATAGGAAGCGAGAATTCAACAATAATAAATTTGTATTATTTTGGAAAGTCATCTATTGTCAAGAGGAAGCTTACAAAATCTAGAGGAGGAGTAGAACTAGATTAAGGGTGTTCTGAAGAGAAGGGTACTTAAGGTGGAATCTGATGACAGAAGAGATGATCAAAAGCTAACAGAAAATGAAATCTTTAGTCAATTGAAAAAAAATCATAACGACCAAAGACAGAAATGAGAAGGTACAAATCTTGACA